TCCTTTCAAAGCAGGGGAGGGCGGCTGTGCAGTAGTTCCTTTGGAGAACGTTCTTGAATGCCCCTTTACAATAATAACCAATTCTGTGTGTAATATAGGAATAGGTGGGAGTGGGAAAAAGGCAGGATATAGGAAAACAAAAAGTATTCATTCAAATACTGGAAGGAAATATAAAATGTTAGTGGTGATTGTCTTCAGGCGGTGGGATTATGGTGGGTGGTTCCTTTTTCTTTCGACTTGTTTGTTTATCCAAGCTGTTGATAGAGAGCACGTACTACTTAGATAATGAGAATTAAACTTTATTTTAAATCTGAAGGAAAAAACACACAGCAGAAACACTACACAATTACTGGGAGCCAGCCTTACTTGAAGGCAGGAGACAATGGCCACTCTGCGACCATCAGCAAGTGCTGTCAACAACCTGACTGGACCATCAACTCAGGGTAGTAGTGTCCAAGTACCTGATAAGCAAGGTAAGCAAAGGCTTACTTACTAATCTGTAGTGAACAGTTTCATGTCTTTCTCACCACATCAAAGATTCTGCTTTCCTGGCTTCTGGCTCTCTCCCAACCCCACAGTACCTTCCTACAGAATCAAAGCCTTTCTGGTGTGGCTCTGTGGGTTAATGCACTGGACTGCAAGGTTGGTTTGAACCACAAGGTCAGCAGTTCAAGCTCACCAGTCACTCCTTGGAAACCCTATATAGGGTCGTTGTGAGTCGGAACCGACTCGACAATACTTAAACACAATGGGGATAGGAGTCCTGGTGTGACTCTGTGGGCTAATGCGCTGGACTGCAAAGTTGGTCTGAACCATTACGCTGCTGGTTCAAGCTCGCCAGCTGCTCCTTGGAAACCCTATACAGGATCGCTATGGGCTGGAACCGACTCGATGGCACTTAACAACAACAGGAACAGGAAGAAGTTCTGATACTGTAGTGGTTACGAGTCAGGCTGCTAACCTAAAAGTCAGCTGTTTGAAACTACCAGCTGTGCTGTGGGAGAAAGAGGAGGCATTCTGTTCCCATAAACATTGATTATAGCCTTGGAAACCCTTTATAAGGTCACTACGAGCCGGAACGGACTCCATGGTGCACTATCACCACCAACAGGGATGGCGGAATCCTGGTGTGGCACTGCGGCGTAAACACTGGAGCGCAAGGTGGGTTTGAACTCACCAGCTGCTCCTTGGAAACTCTATACAGGGTCGCTATGGGTCAGAACTGACTTAAAGGCATTTTAACAACAACAACAATAGGGACGAAAGAATCTTGGTAAAGCACTGTTGGGTAAGCTCAGGACTTCTAATGCAAGGTCAGCTGTTCAAACCCATCGGTCACTCCTCAGAAACCCTGTACAGGGTTGCTATGAGTCAGAACCGACTTGACGGCACTGAACAACAGAAACAGGGATGGCGGACTTGTCGTGTGGCGGTGTAGGATCGTACTGGATGGTTAACCACAAGGCAGGAGTTCAAACACACCAGCTGCTCCCTGGAAACCCTAAACAGGATTTCTACAAGTCGGTAGTGTCTTGACAGCACTTAACAACAGAAATAGGGATGGAGGAGCCAGTATGCAAGGTTAGCACATGCCTACCGGTGTTTGCTTATAAGCCCATGTGAAACTGTTCATTACTAAACTTGCTTGATTAGTAAGCACGCACAAGTCTTGCCTTGCTTATTAGGGACCAGCCCTGCAGGATCCTCTTTCTCCCTAAGTCTTTCTTACCTGAGTTCTTTAAGAGGGCTGTCTGTCTTTCCTTCCGGTGATCAGTGTCCTTTTTCTGGACTTGAAAGTAACAAAGTGCCGCTCACACTGACACAGTCTCGAGCATACCCAGAATCCTTCTGTCTGACCTGGGCCTGGGTTCCCGGAAGCTGCTAGTCTCCAACCGTCTATCCTGCCATGAGCAGCCAAAACAGTGGGCAGTTCAAGGCCTAACAGCGAGCCCCTGACTGCTCGGTCCACCACTCACGGGAGCTGCACCATAGAGAGCAATCCACCTCCACCTGAGACCTTCAGCATTTCCATTCATCCGAAGAGCAGTTACGACCTTCCGGCCACATGGGAATTGGGACACACCTATTCAGTGTCATCACCCATGTTCTGGCCAGCCAGCATGAATCTTGACTTTCTTATCTTCTCTCATGTTCACATCCTTCCCCGTTTATTGTTTGTGTGTGGAGGGATAAAAATGTTGTCGTTGTTGTTAAGTGCCGTTGAGTCAATTCCAACCCATAGCGACCCTGTATGGGGTTTCCAAGGAGCAGCTGATGAGCTTGAACCACTGATCTTGCAATTCAAATGACTTTGGAGTCTGACGCATCAGCCCACAGCGCCACCCCAGGACTCCATGAAAACAGATACCCCAAAAAAATGCTTGCCAATCCTATATTTCCCACACTTAACCATGCAATGACCCCAATCCCATTTTTCACCTTGTACAACCATTCTCATTATCATTTTCCAAAATATTCCAAAATAATTCTATTACCATTAACACAAACTCCACATCCTCCAAACAAAAAGCCCCATCCCCCTTCCTCCTACCACTAGGAACCACTATGCATCTTTGGTTTTTCTACACGTATTTCACACAGTATCTGTTCTGCAACTGACTTATTTCACTTAGCATGTTGTTCTTCACAGCTGCACAGTATTCCGCTGCATGGCTACGCCCCATTATGTTCAACTAGTCACCTGGTGATGGACTGCTGGTTGTTTCCACCTTTGAGCTACTGTAAAAAGCGCCACAACGAACCCTGGTGCAGAGCTTTCTATTTGAGCTCTTCAGAATTTTCAATCATTTCAAGTTTGCTGAACAGGCCTGCGTGCAAGTAACTGCAGAACAGACAGAAGCAGGGACAGAGCTGTGTCTTGAGCCTCCACACCCTTCTCTCTCTGATCACTCCTGCCCTTTCTCTCCTTCGCATGACCCGCCAAACTTAGAGACTCAGCTGCCCCCAAACTTTCGCTCAGGTATCAATCCTCCCAGGAGTGCTGCCCACTCATCCCATCAGACTGGGTTAGGGATGCTGTTTCCTGAGCTTCAGCTGCCCCTGCCCTCAGTACAGAAAGCACCTGCTAGACACGAATGGCAACTGTGGACAGAGACGATTTAATCTGCACCAGAGCCCTCCCAGGGCCAGGCCGAGTAGACACTGGTTAAGCACCTGCAGCCGAAACAGCTCCTTCCACTCCAGACCCTCATCACAGATAGGAATCACATGCAAGCTCTAGCTGAGTCACCTGCCTTTAGAAAGATCGGGGTTCGATTCCCAACCAGTGCAGCTCATGTGACACTACCAACCATCTGTCAGTGGAGGTTCATGTGTCGCTACGGTGTAGTGGTGTATGATAAACACTGGACTGCTAACCGCAAGGTTGGCGGTTCAAACCCACCAGCCACTCTCCTTGGAAACCCTATGCAGTGTTGCTGTGAGTTGGAACTAACTCAACAGCATTTGACAACGATAACAACAACAATGATGCAAAACAGGCACCCGAGGAGCTTCTAGAAAGATCTGGATTATGTACTCACAAGAGTCCAACCTACACCAGATTATGGGAATTGAGTGAATAGAACCGGACAGCATTTCCTTCCGTTGTCCACGGAGTCGCCGTGAGTTGGGGCCAACCAACAACAAAGAACAGCAGTAATCACACACAGCAGGCACACGGGGCCCCCAGTCAGCCCTCCCCTCTGAGCACCTGTGACTGCTCGGGGCTAGGGGGGTCACTGCCTCACTGAACTGGCCCCACAAGCAGACCATCCCAGCACCCAAACTCCCTCATGTGTCCCAATCCCAGGTACCCAAACACTCTAATGTGCCCCAGCCTCAGAGGGAGCAGGATGGGATGGTAAGCACACCAATTCAGAAAGCTCAGGACACTGCACACTCCCCCCCCACCCAAATCCTGTCCCAGAGGCCTGCTGGAAGGACAGCAACAACCGCTCTAAGCAGGAGGGGGCCCAGGGCAGTGGGATGCCAGCATGCCAATTATGCCTGGTGGCCCACCCCCAACCCCTCAGCCGATCAGAGCCGTCCACCACTACACAGAGACATCTGAGGGTGCCCCCGCACCCTTGACTCTAGACTTAGCTGCAGCACAGGAAGCTGGAGGGAGGGACAGGATCCGGCCTCGCTTAGCGGAACCCCAGCATGACTCTGAAGGGTCTTGTTACTGAACAGTGGTTCTCAAACAGTGCTCCCTGGAGGCCCCAAGAATCCACAGAGACGCCATAGAGGGAGAGGAGGGGGCTAAGCAAAGGCACTTGGGCCCCAAGGGCCCCGAGACCATCAGTCACTGAGTCTTCACCTGAGGCATCAAGATCATTTTAAAGTTTCACTGCAAAGAAGAAGTTTGAAAACCAGGGTTCCAAGGCACACCATTTAAGTCGATTTCCCATCACCAAAGATTCTGACCCATCAGACATGGAGAGAACCCCAAAAGTGGACACTCCATGTCCCTTCCCCCCTTGGCCCTCTGAGCCACTCCTAGTCCAGGCCAAGCGGCTCCAGCCAGCCCCCATTCAGCTGTGTGCTGGGGCTGAGGCTGTAAGCCAAGGCCCTCTGGATCCTAGGCACGAGGCTCAAGCCAACAGAGAACGCTTGCTAAACAGCCCTTTACACCACGCCGACAACAAAAGAAGGTTCAAATAAAACACACCAAGTGTCAGCTCGCAAATACCTAACCACGGACACCATTTCCTCTCGGCTTCCTGCAGGGGGAACCATGTGAGTAATGATATTGCCAGATGCCATGAGCACCGCCCTTCCCAGGCAAACCCACTGCCCAGCATCGTCCAGTTATCTTGACTCAGAGCGACCCTTACAGGACAGAAGAGAACTGCTCCACAGGGCTTCCAAGGCAGTCTCTTCACGGAAGCAGACCGCCACATCTTTCTCCCACAGAGCAGATGGTGGGTTCAAACTGCCAAGCTTTCTGTTAGCAGCCAAGCACTTCAGCACTGTGTCACCAAGGTGCCTCCCCTTACCTGGTAGTAGGTTTTGATGCTCCTCACCAATATGGTCAGGTTCTGAATGCGAAGATTCACATCGTTGTTGACGTGCTTGTTAATGCGCTGGTTTGTGGGCCTGGGATCTCTAGGGGAAGAAATGCGAGAGTGGAAAGGTCATCTCCCAGCTCTGCCACACTTCCGTTCCCAGCCCCATCACTGCCAGGCCTGGCTGCAGGACTCAATTCAAACCCCAATTTGATTTTCAGTCTAGGAGCAGAGGTCCCTGGGACCATCAAGTGAGAAGAGTGGAGAGTGGGACCCTACCCAGAGAAGTAGTGATGCCTGAGATGGAGGCAGAGACGATGATGTGGAGAGATGGAGTGGCTGGGGGCTTTAGACACAGAGAGGGAGAGGGGCTGTGTGCTGACGCCCGGGGGGCAGGCTTGTAGTGTATGCCCTTTGGATGGTTGATGATGCATGGAAGGGATTGTAATCTTGGCAATGAAACGATATATGATAGGACGAATGTAAAACTAATGTTCTCCCATGTAAACTATCACAAAATTCCAAATAAATAAATAAATTACAAAAAAATCCCACAAAACAAAACAACCCCAATTCGGCCACTGCTTTTCCCCAAACTATTCCATAGGGTTGTTTTACCTTCCAACGAGGTAACAAACGAAACCCCGAGCTTACCACAGACCCTTCATCGATAGGTATCTCTGTTCCCCCACGCATCAACCACCAAATGACAATAAAGTCAAAGAAAGGTTGTTGTTGTTAAGTGTCGTTGAGTCTGTACTGATTCCTAAGGACCCCGTATGAGGTTTCCGAGGAGCAGCTGGTGAGCTTGAACTGCTGACCTTGCAGTCCAGTGCCACACCAGGACTCAAAAAAAAAAGTTATGGGGTATAAACATCAATAATCTAGCCAGAAACATATTACAAAACTGAAAGGATTAAAAGCAGAACCAAGGAAAATATGTGAAATATCCAAAAAGGTCCAAAACACCAAAATCCGTGGTCGTGGAGTTGGAGGGTGGAGCTGGCCCTGAAGGGCTTCTAAGGCTACAAATCTTTGCTGAACCAGATTGCCATCCTTTCTCCTAAGAAACCAAAGGTGAGTTCGAACCTTCAACCTTTCCACTAGCAGCCAAGCGCTTTAGCCACTGCACCCCGTGGATCCTATTCAAGAGTGATGGTAGTGGTTGTGTGCCTTTGAATCAATTCCGATTCATACTAACCCTATAGAGCGTTCATGATACTGAATTTTTACAGAAGCAGAAAGCCTCATCTTTCTCTCATAGAGTGACTGGTAGATTCGAACTGCTGACCTTGCAGTTAGCGGCCCAGCTCATAATCCACTATGCTACCAGGGTTCCTTATTCAAGAATGGCAGATAAGAAGAATGAAATGCCGCATTTCCTGGGTAGATAAGCCAATGAAATCACTCATGCTCAGTTGATCCTGCCTATGCTGTTAGTTCCTGGGACACTCCTCTAACTTGAAAAACCGACACCATCCATCTGTGATACCTCATGGTGTGCAGCACACCGAGAGGAGACAAAGGGGAGTCCCTGGGTAGGAATCACTGCTAACCAAAAGGTTGGGGTTTCAAGTCCACCCAGAGGACCCTCGGAAGAAAGGTCTGGCGATTTACTGTTCACACACACAAACAAGATAGCCACTGAAAGGCCCACGGAGCTCAGTTCTCTTGACTGTACACAGTCAGAACTGACTCTGCAGCTACTGGTGTAGAGACGGAAACAATGCCTGAGGAAAACCCCAAAGTGTCATTGCTTTTCCTATCTCCAGCAAGACAGGCCTGATTGAGATGAAACTAGAATCTGAAATCAAGTGCTTTATCACTCCACTCATCTACATACAGGACAATTTGTCAAAATTCTCAGTGTCAGAAAGTGCTTATTTGAAGAGAACAGATTCGACAGACTGACTGAGCTCTGGCCTTCTCGTGGATGCACACTGCTTTCCATCACAAAGCCCTGGCTCCCACAGGATTCTCCCAAGACCCAGCAAATGAGGACCTGTCATCCAAGTTCTGTGACAGAGTGAGAGCCCTCTGGGGGCTGGGGGCTGGAGGCTGGAGGAGGAGGAACAGACGTTGTCCCCCTTCCTCACAAATGGTATCCTCAATGCTGAGAGCACAGGATGGGGGTTTTGGGGTGTTCCGGAAATCAATCTGAATGTTACAGGGTTTATTCAAAGCTAGTAATTAGCAGAAACCCAACAAACAGGAAATCATTTCAACTATCACTGGAAGCACAATGCATTTTGAATGCCAGCTGTTTAAAATTCAACCATTAAGTAAATATTTGAGATTTACACTATGAGTCTTAATATTGCCTTAGGTGCAGGGTAGATACTTTTACCTAAGCATCAGCTGTAGACTTTATTCAGGCTTCATGTCCCTAAAATTCTCACGTGGGTACCGGAGAGCAACCAGAGGTGCTTACTTTTCAAGTACCATGTGACAATATTTCTCATTGTTCTCCAAAGAGGGATGGAGTCTGGCCAAGCCATTTACACATTACATGTTTCTCCTGGAGCCGTTCATTATTGAGGAAATAAAGGTTAACAGTTCCATGGAAATTAATTTAGGAGGACAGGAGGCGTTCAAAATTTAAATCCATAAAGATCTTTTTATAGCTACAGAAGTAAGTGTACCTGGCGTTACAAAATAATTCCTCCTAAAGGTGTAATTCTCCTGCCTTGCTACAGATGCCTTAAGAGACACAAAGCAATTTCAGAAAGTGGCAAATGTGCTGCTTAAAATAGTGAAACTTAGAAACCATGTGGGTTTTTTTTCTATGTTATGGTTATTGTCATTCTAGCTTTTGACAAAAGTCTGACAAGCCCTCTGCAGAGATGTACCTTGTAGAGGTCTCGGGCAGGACAACCCAGGTTTCTGGCAGCTAACAGGGACATCTCTGACCAACCCGGCGCTTCTACTAGGGAGCAATCCCTAATTGAAACAACACTCCCAAAGAACCTAGATCTTCATTGTGTGAGTAATTCAACTAAAGACCTTGATCATCAGACATCCTCTAAGCAAGACTCTGAGGGCAAACAGAAGGTGCCGTTGTTGTTGTTGTTGTTATGCGCCATCAAGTTGGTTCTGACCCATAGCAACCCTGTATAGGGTTGCCAAGGAGCAGCTGGTGAGTTTGAACCACTGACCTTGTGATTCAAACCAACTTTGCAGTGCAGTGCATTAACCCACAGCTCCATATCAGGACTCGGAATAGAGGGTTGGTTGGGTTGTTGTTGTTGTCATTGGTAACAGAGGGTATCAGGCGGAAAATCAAAGCAAAAGACTCCCCAAGGTGGGTCAGGAACCCCTAGTTACACGAGAGTTCCCACCACTCCATGCTGCAGGATGTGGCTCTAGCAGTCAGGCCTGAGACTGCAGTCCAGCTCCAAAATTCTCTGGCCTCAGCACGCTCCTCCGCAAAGTGCCCAGGGTTCCCGCGTGTCCTCAGAGGCTCCAGTTCTACGAAGCCCAGGTCTGCATTAGTGAGCCCAGACTGCACCAGGGTGTATATCCCAGGAAGGGGATGGCATCGCAACCATGGCACAACTGCATTTCAGCGAAAGCTGTCATTGAGAACAGGGGTCTCTTCTGTACTTGACAACCCCCAAACATAAACATCCCACAGTCCGGTAGCAGGTTATCAGAGGACAGGACATCAGTAGCTGGTCCAAACTGGGAGAGTTCCAAGTCCAAAGACTTCCTAAATTTAGCACTGGCTGCAGAAACCATGTACTGAGACAGATAGAAGCCACGGTCATCCCACATCGTAGGTTAAAAAAGGAGAAGGTCAGCACCTCTGAGCCAAATAATCGACTGGCTTATAAAATAAAGACTATCACACCAGGAGTTCTGATGTGGTGCTGTAGGATCAGTACTGGACTGCTAACCACAAGGTTGGTGGATCAAACCCCTCAGCCGTTCCTTGGAAACTCTACATAGGGTCACTCGGAGTCAGAACTGACTCAACGACATCACATATAAGCAATGTGCCTATTAAATAATCAACTACACGAAACCAAGCAGTCAACAATTACCGGAAAGCTAAGATGAGATGGCAAGAAGAGATAGGAAAGCTAGATCAATGGGAACAGAACAACCAGAATGGAATCATGAGAATGCTGACAGACCAGGAAAACGGACCAGTGTCACAGAACAAACTGTATAAAAACTGTTCACTGGAAAACCTAATTAGCTATGCCAACTTTTACCTAAAATACAATAAAGTATTTTAAAAATAACAACAAAATAGGATGTTAAAAACTAGTAGCAAGAACTGGTTAAAACAAACAAAAAAGTCTAGGGAGAACATTCTGGAAAGCATCAGAATATTAACATTCCTACCTCTGCCTGGTACAATGATAGATGTTGTTGTTGCTGTTGTTGTTATGTGCCGTGGAGTCGATTCTGACTCATAGTGACCCTGTACAGGGTTTCCGATGCCGTAAATATTTACGGGAGCAGAACGCCTCCTCTTTCTCCCACGGAACAGTTGGTAGTTTCGAACTGCTGACCCTGAAGTTCACAGTCCAATTTGTAACCACTACACTACCAGAACTCCTTACACAATGATAGATAGGCAGTTTTTATTATACTTAATTTGTGTGTTCCTCTTCTACAATGAACGTGACTTTTGTCTGTACTTCTTAAAAGGGCTCAGGCCCCACAAAGGGTGTCACAGCTGCCACTGCTAAAGGAAACTCACTAAGTTTACAAGTAAAAATCTTTTTACACCAACGCAAACTTACTCCACGAACAACTACTGAGCCTTTTACCCTCCAGAATCTGTGGAATGGGAACAGTTATTCTTCAAGCACACAGGGGAAATGATATCACCTTTCAAATGCTTTCTTAGAAACATACACTCTCCACATTAATGTGAGGCTGTTCGCCAGCTCTGAATAATTAATGCACTATCCTGAATTTTGTAGCTAGCACCAGAGGTTACAAAGACTTTAAATCAAGCAAACGGCACTGAATTCACAGGCCAGGGCACAAACCCTCAGGCCCCAGTCCTGATTTCCCAAATGCACTAACAGCTATGTTACTGAATCAGAGGGTGTCTGCTCTCACAAGAACAGGAGCACACTAGTGCACACATGCCTGTACACACGTGCACACACACTCACACTCACACCCAAGTCTGAGTCTCCCTCTTCATGAGCTTCCCTGAAGAGTCAGGTAGCACTGATACTGATTTCACATTTGCTGCATGTCTTTATAAGGAGTCCTGGTAGCGTTAGACCACTAACTGCAAGGCTGGCTGTTCAAACCCACCACCAGCTTCTCCTAGGGAGAAAGATGAGGTTGTCAGCTTTCACCAAGATGTATAGTCCCAGAAACCCTATATAGGGACACGAAGAGTCGCAATTAACTCGGTGGCAATGGTTTGGTTTTCTTTGGTTTGGGGATATCTTTATATGCATTGTCTGATTTAATCCTCCCCCAAACTACAAATTATTATCCACTATTACAGATCAGGAAACTGAGGCTTAGAGAGTTTACGTGATTTGCCCAGGGTATCAAAAGTATTTGAATTTGTTGTTGTTAGGTGCCATTGAGTCAGTACCGACCCATAGCAACCCTACACACAGCAGAACAAAACACTGCCCGATCCTGGGCCAACCTCACCTCACTACTGTTGCCACACTTGAGCCCAATGATGCTGCCACTTGGCCAATCCATCTCGCTGGGGGTCTTCCTCTTTTTCTCTGACCCTCCACCATACCAAACATGATATCCTTCTCCAGCGACTGGTCCCTCCTGACAATATGTCCAAAGTATGAGAGATGAAGTTTGCCCATCCTGGCCTCCAAGGAGCACTCCGGCTGCACTTCTTCCAAAACGGATCTATTGGTTCTTTTGGCAGCCCATGGCACTTTCAATATTCTCCTCTAACACCATAACTCAAAAGCATCAATTCTTCTACGATATGCATATGAGGTTATTGAAAATACCATGGATTAGGTATTAGCAAAATATATATATCTATAACAAATATGCCATGGACTGCTAAAAGAACGAACAAATCGGTTTTGGAAGTTCAGCCAGGATGCTACTTAGAGGCAGCAATGCTGGTACTTTGGACATGTTATCAGAAGGGACCAGTGCCTGGAGAAAGACACTTGGCAAAGTAGAGGGTCAGTGAAAAAGAGGAAGACCCTCAACAAGATGGACTGACACTGTGGCTTTCACAATGGGGGGCCACCACAGTAATTGTGGGGATGGTGCACAACAGAGCATATATTGCCATGTGTTGCCATGATGAATTGGAACCAACTCAACAGCACCTACTGCCAAGAGCGGGAAGAGTAAGTGACAGGTAGGAATTGGAAAGTGTCCTCATGGTGCTTGAAACAACAACCTGCCCAAACTTCATCAGAGCGCTTGTTTTCCCTTAGGTCCCGCCATGCCCCGAGACAAGCGCTATACATGCAGTTTCCCTAGGGTGTTCATGCTAGCACACTCTTGTTCAGGACTTCTCCTCACCCTGGGCCTCGCTTGAAAGCTGAGCTCGCCGGGCTTTCCTGCTTCCAAGCACTGATGTCACCGGGAAGCCAGGGCCCAGGGACCCCTACAGTAGTATTCTTCAGTTGCCAGAGACAATGCCCAGGTGCAGTCATGTGACGCCCAGCCAGCCTCCATATGGCTCTGCAGTGTTAGGTGACCGGCCTGTTATTGGAGCGCCAGCCACTGCAAGCAAAGTTCTTAGGGCCCCCTACCATCGGGGGAGCTGCGAGTCAGGAGATGAAGTACAGGAGTCTTATCAATTACCCACTAACTGAGTTAGCCCAGATGTAAAACCAGACACAAGACTTAAGGACTATGTCAGATGTGGGGCTAAGGCCTGGGCCTCAGAGCCCAGCTTGCCCTAGATCTCCTGGGGATGGGGCCAGGCTGAGAAATCAGCTAGGGGACCAAGTATACAGGTTGGGGTAGTGGGAAGGACAGAAGTAAGAAGAAAAGGAAAACCAACTCCCTTGGTCTGCCTCCAATCTTCCTTTCTAGATTAGAACAGTGCAAACCTAAGCAAATAACTGATACGGAACCCAAACCAAACCCAGCGCTGCTTAGTCAGCTCCAGCTCATCCTGAGTCTATAGGACGGGGAACCATTCTACTGAGTTCCTGAGGCTGAACGTCTTTACCAGAGCAGATGGTCGCATCTTTCCCCCTCAGAGGGGCTGGTGGGTTTGAACCTCTCATCCTTTAGTGAGTAGCCTCATGCTTAACCCACTGTTCCAACAAGGCTCCTTAACTGATACCGACACCTACCAAATACTAGTCCAGCTACATGTCAACACATCATCTTTTTTCATTTGCACAACCATCTCTTTTTTAAGGAGGGCCTTTATTTACTTCCCATTTTACGAGATAAAGAAACTGAGCTACTAAGTGCCCCCTGCCTAGTATCAAAATGCTAATATGAGAGAGATCTAGGACTCAAACCCAGGCTGATGACCCTGGCTGTCACACACTGGGGCCAGGAGTCTTTTATTTTATTTAGATCATTTTCACATACAGGAAAAGCACTCATATCTTAAATTATAGCTTAATAAATGCTGGAAAAGGTAGTAGATCCCAATCAATCTAAAGTAAATTTCTACTATTCCCAAAAGTTCAGGTGCCCCCTTTCTAACCCATTCCTACCCAAAGGCAAACCAAGTTGTGATTTCTGTCACCCAGAGCTGCCCGGTTCTTGTGCTCACCCCATCAGTAACCTGTACTCTGGTGGCACTGTCCACCCCACCATCCACTGGCTCCCTTCCTCTCTAGGTCAGACTAGGGGGCCTAGAAGTGCTCAGAGTGCTGGGCTCCCACTTCCGGGATTGATTACATTGGCTTATCACAAACACACACACATAATTCTAAAATTTCCGGGGTGATAGAGGTGAGATGGGGAGAGGTTTAACCAAATTTAGCCCCAGGCCAAATGTGAACCAGTGATGAGCTGGCATTTCTGAGAGCCATTCAGAGGAGCTTTCCTGATTTACAAGCAAGTGGTAAAAGCTTCAGGAATTCCAAAGGTCAGGGAAGAAAGAGAAACAGCCCCCGGCTTTTGTTCTCCCCTAGCCTGGGTGTAAAAACTGAATGAAAAGGCTAGGACACTGCTGGGTTTTTTTAATTAAACAGTCTTAGGTTTGGGGAAGACAGGTTTAAGTTTCACTGGTCCCTACACCAACGGAATCCAATATTATTCGGGATCTAACAGAAGGGAGGGAGGCAGCGAGCGGTGCCTGAACTCTAAACGTGCCATGAGGCAACCCTGAGAACACTCATTTTCATTATGAGATTCTGCCAAAGCTGCCGACAGATTATCTTTTCAGAATCCAATCACACAGTAAAGACTGGCAGTGAGCTGGTGTTGTTTTTTAAAAAAAAAACAAAAACATAGCCTTTAATCTCTCCCCTACAGCAGACCACCAAATGACGTATTAAAAGGAGCAATGTATTTGGATTTTTTTCAGACAGATGTATTTAGGTACAGTTTATTTAAAATAACTTTCTAGATCTGCCAAAGCAAATGGCCCCGCCTCCTTGAGGAGCCACAAAGAGGCTGAGGCTAATTCTCATTAGCTAATGGGTTTATGCTCAAGTATGACAACTTGAGTAGTAAGTGAGCACCACAGGCTGGTCCACAAAGAACATAAGGATCTTTTTCTTTTGCTTCCATGGGCTGTGAATCATAGTTACACTCCGTTCCAATATGTCCCCTGAAGGTTCTGAGTTACAAACAGAACGCAGCAATAGGAACTCAACACCTACTTAGTGACAGGCTGTCAGACAGACAAGCAGGCAGGTAAACTCTGAACAATTCAGCAACAGAAAGAAAGTGGTTCGGATGTACAAACTTTACCAGACCCTGTAAAAGACACATGCTTCAAAACAAACAGTCCCACAGTGCCTGGAAGGGGCTCCCTCTCCTTACACAGTGAATTTCAAACCCACTTCAAGCATAGGTACTTAACCGACTTGCTATGGGGCCACTAAAAAAGATGGGATGAAAAGGTTTCAAAAACAGTCTATGTAAACTAGAATGAAACTTCACAGTGACTGCGGATGCTCTTGATCCACCCCACACTTCCTGTAACCTGCCGCGGTCCACTGGTTTGTGCCTCCCTAAAACAGGGGGCTTTTTAATTTCATTGCTCAAACCACCATGTTAGCACCCCAAATTTGAAGTCAATTAATTGCCTTGTCTACACCATATGGATGAAAGTCATTCAATTCCAAACTTCATCAAACACGCAGAAATGACGCAAAGACACCTAGAACCACACCCATTGCAACCTTACAATACGTTTCCACAACCTTAAACTTTCTAGATTTGTACAGCAGCATTCTTTCCTTCCTCCCCGAAGAGGCTAACTTACATTTGCAACATGATTTGGTTCAATAAGATGCCGTCCGCTAAATCCATGTACATTGTCAGGTTGTCCTGGCTGCCGCTTTCGAATGGGCCAAAAGTTTTCACCTGCAGAGAAAACAGGACAAGTCAATCCCACGTGGACAGATGGCCTAAAACTGTCGCGGTCAAAGATGGGGTCCGGGTGTGTGTGTGTGTGTGTGTGTGCAGGTTGGGGTCACCCTCCAGCAAGCACCAATCTGCCTCTTTTCTCCCCAAGCCTCCTCCCTCCTCGCACCAGGCAAGAAACGCGAAACAGCAAAGAGGCAAACTTCCTCGCCACTTTTTCTCAGCGTCCCAGAGCAAACAAAAATAAGAGACTTTTCAATATATCTGTCACGTCTCAAATCCATCGAAGAGTGCTGTGCCCAATCCAGTCTGTTCACGTGCCCACTCGGCGCTCCCCCAATTCCCATGGGTCAAGGCCAGGGACCCGCGGGTCTCAGAACCTCCACGGAGTCACGTCTTGGTACTGGGGTCACTTTCGGGAGCGGTCAGGCCCTGGGGGCCGGAGCAGCAGGCTATGAACGCTCGGGCCCAGGGCGCTCCAAAGCCGCCGGACCAGCTCCCGGGAGGGAACAGGTGTACCCGGCTCGGCCCCTGGCCCTGCCCGGAGCGAGGCAGGCTCCAGAGTTGAAATGCCTCTGGACTCCGCGGCGCGGACCAGACTCCAGCCGGGAGCCACTTGCTGAGTCCCCGCGTCCCGGGGTTACCGGGTGTTCAACCCGGAGGGCGAGGAGCCCGTGCACCGACCAAGAGGCGGGGGAGCCCGGGCACTCACCCAGGTCACCAGCGGGCTCTGCAGGAAGAGCTCCATGAGCTCCGACACGGTCACGTCCATACTGAGGCCGCTCCGGCCCCGCGTCCCGTCCCCAACGCCGCGGTACAAAGCGGCTCGGGCCCCAGCGGTGGGCACGGGGCTACGGCGGCTCGCGCCCGGGAGACAAAGGCGGGGCGCGAGCCCACGTTCAGCGGCCCCGGCGGCCCCGCGCCCCGCCCGGCTGGGAAGGGGCGGGCCTGCCGCTCGGGGAGGAACAATGCGGCCGCCCCGCCCCTCGGCCCGAGCAGCACCGCGCCGCCTGGTGGGACCCCGGGAGCCGGGGCGCTGGGCAGTCGTAAGGAGCCGGGAGGCCAGGCACTGGGTGGCTGTGCAGGGAGTGGGGGGCGCCCGAGCAGTCAATCGGGGCTTCCCCACACGGGGCGAGGCGCCACGGAGCCTCCTTGCGTGCAGAGCCCCGGCACGTGGCGCCTCCCTGCGCGCGCGCGCCTGCGGCAGATCCACTGCACCACGTGCGGCTTGAGCGTGGGGCACCTCCGCCAGGGTGCCATCCTACACGGGGGAGCTAGGATTCTCCGCCTTCTGGGGTGGCCCCTGTAGGTGTAGCCCGTGAGCCTCACCGAGCCTCCACTTCCCCAGTGCCAGTGGCAGGAGCCGGCGACTTTTGCCCGAGCTAGTGGCGGGAGAGCCAAAACCTGGTCTCCAGGACAGGTGGGGTTCAGGCCCAGAGAGCCAAGGTGGAAACTTCATGTAGAGTTGAGACTATTCCAGGAGTGAGACTTTTTGCGCCCCACTTATATCACCTCCCGGATTGACCGCCTTCTGGAACTTCTAGTAGAAACCCACTCCAGCAGTTAACACCCCACCCTTATATTTTCGGGAGCGGAGCCCTAGGACTCCTCACCAGATTACAGCTGGGGGGAAGGAGTTGGCATAGCACAACTTGGTGACAGGTGAAAAAAGAAAGACCCAAACTGAATGTCTGTGAGGCTCAGAAGCCGAGCTCTCAGCAGCTGCAGCTGCAGCGAAGCACAGTGCCGGCTCATGAGTTCAAGACCTGGCTGTCATGTCACCTGGAGCAGGTCATACTTTAACACTACAATCCAGTCCCTGCTCAAAGCACTTTATACAGTTTGACTCATTTACTCTTCACGTAACACATTTCACGATGAGCGAACTTGAACAGAGGTTTCGAGCTGAGCTCAGTGCTCACCAAGTATGTAAACAGTTGCCTTTCCACAAACCGCTGCGGGTTGAATTGTTAGCAAATCATCTTGAAAGTTGGTTGTCAATTGTTAGACCTACGGCATCTGCTGGTAAAGCGTGGTATTGCAGTCCTGGTCAGCTAGCCCTTGGTTGGGGTGGGGGTGGGGGTGGGGTGATTGTGGTCCCAGGAGCCAAGTGGGCAGTTACGAAGTCCCTAGGTAGTAGTGTCGGGAGTCCTGGTGTAGCGCTGTAGGATAAGCACTGGACTGTAAGGTCGGTGGTTCAAACTCATAAGCGGCTTCTCAGAAACCCTATACAGGGTCGCTATGAGTCAGAACCGAGTAGATAGGAATTAAGAGTTAACAATAACAACAGCAGGTAGTGCAAAGAGTTAAGGGGCTCAGCTACTAATGGAAAGGATGGAAGTTCTCGAAGTTCCTTGGAAGAAAGGCGTGACAGTCTATGAGGAAAGTTGTTGTTAAGTGCCGTCGAGTCGGTTCCGACCCATAGCGACCCTGAACAGGGTTTCCGAGGCTGTAAATCTTTACGGGAGCAGAAAGCCTCATCTTTCTCCCGCGGAGCAGCTGGTAGTTTCGAACAGCTGACCTTGCGGTTCGCATCCCGATTCGTAACCACTAGCCATTGAAAACTCTATGGAACGTAGTTCTACTTTGACACTTATGGGGTCAGAATCAATAGAAGGCAACTGGTTCCAATGAAAGAAGCGAAGTCACGGTAACAGAAAAGAAAGTAAAGACAGCAGATGAATGAATTTCCGAGTCTTTGTGACTTTCTCATGCACTAGAATTAAATGGAGTCTGGTATGTCGCTGTAGGATAAGCACTGGACTGCTAACATCAAGGTTGGCAGTTCAAACCCATTAGCCACTCCTTGGAAGTCCTATATAGGGCTGCAATGAGTCAGAACCAACTGCATGGCAGGAATTCATTAGAAGGGTTCCTGAATTGCCCATTTTCATAATAATGCAAATTGGTTGGAAATAGGTATATACAATGGGTGGCCACATCCAACTTTACTTTGCTTAGAAAGGTCTGAAAGTAGGGAATGCCAGTGCAGCCAGAGTGTTTTCCACACCTTGTTCTGTAGGGAAGAGGAAGTGGCGGGACCTTTAAAGTTAATTCTTTGGCCTGTAAGAAATTCACTGTTTTAGTGACACATGTCCCAATGTGATGAGAGAATCCTGACGTTTCAGTCCCTTCAAGAATTTCTGTTTTGAGATCAGCTGCTGTGTTGGGTTGCGATCATTGATTCATCCTTGGCTCAAGCCCACCACCCCCCATCAGAAGGAACTGGCTCAGCTCCCCTGTTCTTGTGAGGAAGGGGGTTTGGGTAAATCCAAGATACAGGATTGGAAGGTTTCTAAGGACCAGGTGATCTGAATCAATTACTTCCTTTTTTTCATTGTAAACTCAGGATAACATTTTCCCTATATGACTTGTCAAGCTCATGCATGTAATAAAGCTTTGGCAACCATGTTGTTACCTTGACTCATGGCAGCCCCATGCTCAGTGGACTCAAATCGCTGTGAGTAACAGGATTTTCTTTAGTGAGTTGCCAGGCCTATCTCCCTTGTCTCATAGTCTGGAAGCTCCTTGCCACCTGTTTAGCATCACAGCCACACTCAAACCTCCACTGACAGGGAATGGCTGACGAGCTTCAGGGGAGCGTATTTTCAACAAAGACTGCTGTATTTAAGGGAATTTGAAGAATTAGCAGGGAAATAATTCTACCACTTTGCTACTGAAACTCAAAATCTGGTGAGGCTGGGTGGATGAAGGCTCTGAACTGGGGTCTGAACTCTGGGGTTCCGAAACACCTTTTTATGATTAACTGTGTGGCACTGCAGGATAATGCACTGGACCACAAGGTCGGTTTGAACCACAAGATCAGCGGTTCAAACCCATCAGCTCTTCCGAGGAAACCCTATACAGGGTCACTATGAGCAAGAACTGACTCGACAACACTTAACAACAGCGACAACAGCAACTGTCAGGAGCCCTGGTGGCACATGGGTTAAAGTGCTTCACTGCAAACCCAAAGGTTAGTGGTTCAAATCCACCAGTCTCTTTGGGAGTGAACTATTTACAGCCTTGGAAACTCTCTGGTGCAGTTCTGCTCTGTCCTGTAGGGGTCGCTGTTGAGTAGGAATTGACTGGACTACTGTGCGTTTTGGGTTAAATCAACCATCAACAAGAGAGAAAAGGACCAGATCAACATTGTATTGTCAAGCTTTGGAATTTTTGCCTATGTGATCAGTGAAAAATAGAATCTGTGTCATTTCCCTAACAGTGAACTTGAACATCATGTTTACAAGCCATTGTTTAGCATCTCTTAACTGTCCATGTCTCCTGACCATTTTTTCTGTAGGGTTCATTCTGTTATACATAGGGTCGATATGAGTCGGAACCAACTCGATGGTGTCTAGCAACAGCATATAAATTAGGTGTTTTTTTCTGCCAGTTTGCATTTCTCTTTTGATGTTACTTATGTTATTTTTTTTTTTCAATGCAAAAATTGTTTCTATAGTCACATTTATCAATATGGTAGAATGTACTGATTGACTATGAACTGCTGAACTAGCCATGCGTTCCTGGGATAAACTCTCGTTGGTCCTGATGCTTTATTGTTTTTATGTATTGTTAGATTTCAATTTACTAAGTAAACATAGAGAATTTTCACATCTCTGTGCATGAGGGATACGGACCTGTACTTTTCTTTTTCTGTGACATCTTTGTATGGTTTGGGAGCCAAGGCAAAGCTGGCAACATGAAAGGAGTTGGGAAGTATTCCTTTATTACATCCTAGAAGAATTTATGTAGGATTGGATTATTTCTTTCTTACATTATTGGCTGAATTTGTCAGTAAAGATATCTAGGTCTAGATTTTTCTTTGTTGGAAGGTTTTAAACTACAAATTTAATTTCTTTAAGAGCTACAGACTGTTCTGGTCATCTCTTTCTTTTTGAGCAATCTTTAGTGTTGGTGGTGTTGTTAGGTGCCATCGAATCTGTACCAACTCATAGCGACCCTTAGCACAACAGAAGAAAACCCTGCCCGGTCCTGGGCCAACCTCACAGTCATTACTATTCCTGAGTTTACTGCTGCTGCCACTGTGCCAGTCCATCTCGTTGGGGGTCTTCCTCTTTTTCTCCAACTCTCCACTTTACCAAACATGAGATCCTTCTCCAGTGACTAGTCCCTCCTGACAACATGTCCAAAGTATGAGAGACGACAAAGTCTGGCCATCCTGGCTTCCAAGAAGCACTCTGGCTGTACCTCTTCCAACAGGGATGTATTGGTTCCTTTGACAGTCAATGGTACTTTTCAGTATTTTCCTCCAGCACCATAACTCAACTGCATCAATTCTTGTATGGGCTTCCTTGGTCACTGTCCAACTTTCACATACATATGAGGTTATTGAAAATACCATGGCTTAAGTTAGGTGCACCTTAGTCCTCAAACTGACATCTTTGCTCTTCAGCAATTTATAAAGAGGTCTTGTGCAGCAGATTTGCCTAATGCAATATGTCCTTCGATTTCTTGACTGCTGCTTCCATGAATGTTGATGGTTGATCCAGGCAAAAATGAAGTCTTTGACAACTTCAGTCTTTTCTCAATTTATATGAACAGGAAAAAGTAAAAATCATTTACTGCCCTCTCTGCCCAGGAGGCAAGCTAAAATGCTAATCAGGTCACCAAATGGGACCAATCCCCCGGGTTCTCCCCCTGCCCTCAAACAGGTATGCAGCCTGGCCCCTCCCCAACTCTGACCCCATATAGGCCCATGTTGCCCTCCATTTGGCGCTCAGAATCTGGAGAAATTAGCTCCTCTGAGTC